TCATGATTCACTACTTCCACTCATCTATGATGAAAATAAATCAATTTTATCATTTCTTAATTTATATCACTTTAAAATTTTTATAATTACAAGTTTTTAATTTTTCACTCATCAAAATATTTTTTACAAAATTTATAAATTATTATTAAGATTCAGTCGTCCAGACAACTTTAATTTCAGTCGTCCAGACGACCGAAAATTAGATCATTCTGACTCAGACAACTTACAGGGGCTAAATTCGTAAAAATGTCTTCTGTTTTTTTCTTTGGTCACAAAGGACTATACTGTAATTTCATACCCCTTTTAGATTAGATTTGCATTTGATTCAAGTTTGGGTCTAGTATTGGGGTTTAAATCAAGTTGTAGGTTAGTTTTGGCAAAAACCCCAAAAAATATTTAGTGAAAGAGAAAATCCTTTAAAAATACAATAGCACAAAAGTGATATTATAAAATAATTCGAGATTAAAAATAAGAACAATATTTTAATAAGATGTGTATTAAACACACAGATAAGAAAACTAATGATAAAGTTAGCATTGAAAATATTATCCAAATTAAAAAATCAAACTGGGGCCGGAAAAAAAAAAACTAAAACCAAAATCACCAAAATTAAAAAAAAACCCCAAACAGTTACTATTTCTCAAACCCGAAAACCAAAACTAAAATCAAAACCGCACCAATAACCGAAAAAATCTAAATGTTCGAAATATAATAAAAATATTAATTATCATAATATATTATATAATTTATATATGAAAATATGCAAAACCCTTAATCACCTAAACTACCTTTTTGGATTTTTGGGGTTAATTCAAATTTTTAAGTTTTTTTTTTTAGATTTATGGCTTTAACATGACTCAAACTATTTATAATTCAGTTTCATTTCAGGCTTTACGAAAAAAATATAAATTCAAACCGAATCCGACACTACTCGAACTGAACTGGTCCGGAAAATGTTTGGTTCTTATATGGGTCCTAAACACCCAAACATGGATAACTCGAAATATAAATACAAACCCAATCCAATTTTACTTACACTAAACCGATCCTAAAAATGTAACGGTACCTAAACATCCAACCTGAATTACTATAAAACAACAATGTAAATTACTTTTAATTATAGACGTCAAAATTCAAATATTAAAATTAAAAAACAAAATTTTAGTAATTCCTAAATTAGAAAAATTAACCAAAGCCTTATCCGCGCTTCCAAAGCGCGGATCAAAATCTAGTCTATACTATTAAAGCAAAATCCCTATTAGAATTATGCCCTTAATTTTATAAGATAATTACATTGCTATGCAATTATCTTTTTAATTAAAAAATTAATTCCAAACTACCAAAAACTATGATCCAATCATATTGCACCATTTATTTCTCCAGATACGCATCATTTATTCCTCAATCCTATTTCAGCGTAGTGCACCTTAAATATTGTGCATCTTTCACGTGATAAATGGTTTTACATCTGTGTAAAGTTTTACATCTATGCAAGATTATGACTTTACTATATACATGATAAATAAATATGAGCTTAATAATATGAGTATTTCGTGCAAGGATAAATATGCATATTGTGTAGATTCATAGTTTTTGAGTTATCTGGAAAAGATATTTTTTGGTTAATTCACTATTTCCAAACTTGGCCAACAATCAAAATCACCTAAATCTCCTATATACAGTTTTTACTTAAATCGATACCTACTAAAATATCTAAAACTTTTTTAGTTATGTATCTTTAAATTTGGGATATCCTACATAATATTCTTACATACGTATATTCTTAAAATTTTATTTAATTCTTGAGCTTTTAGTTAATTCATAATCAAGTTTTTATTAATTTGGTATGGGCAACATTCACAATCATTATTAGCAAAAAAAAAAAAAACATTCACAGTCATTTAAACACTGTTATGGATTTCTCTTTTTTTTTCCGTAACATGTGAACGGTTTTTAGACCAATAATATGGTTTTTGTGAACCGGAAAAACGAGAAATATCAGATTTGTTGGGCCCAATCTGTTTTCTCTTTTTCATACTTAATCTTTTAGTATATAGGCTACTAGGTAAAACCCGCCCTACGGGCGGGTAAGCACGTTAAGTAATTGAAAAAAATTACAAATTATAATAAATTGATATTTTCAATTATTTTTTGTATCTATTTTGCGATAAAACTTTAGCAAAATTATGAGAGATATTATTATTAAAAAATAATAATGTATTTAAAAACACAATCGTATTGTGTGCATAGTTTTATATATATATATATATATATATATATATATATATTCTTTCGGAGATCATTTATTCTTAAAGGATAACTTTTTTAGGACCACAAAAATTCATAAGTTTCGAGCTAATCGAATTAAATACAAAACTACTTATTTACTTAAAGTTGTATGATGATAGTGTTCATGTGTTATTGGAATAGGTAAGAAAAGAGTGCTAATTTAAATTGAAACCCAAGTGACATGTTTTGTTATTTTTTTCTTATTTTCAATATTTTACTAAACATTTTAACAAAATACGATGAACTAACTTTTGTTTTTGTCACTGAAATTTTTCTAAACGTTTACATACAATATTAATTTTTCCATTTCACAATAGTTTAAAATAAAAGAATTAATATTAAGAAATTTGTTAATTTTTAGAACATGTATTTAATTGATAAAATTTACTAATTATAAAAATTAGACATTATTTGATTGGTCACATTATATCTAATACATGTAAAAGTTACCTCGATGTGAGGAAATTACATCTATTTTGAAACAAAGAAATTCTTAATACTATTTACAATAAGAAACAGAGGGAATACTTTATAGTTTTAAAGAAAATACATTATTTAATTTATTTTTCATAATAAATACAGAACTTAAGAAGAAACTATAATTTATAAAATAAATGAATGATTATTAATGAAAGAGATCGAGTTATAAAACATGCAATTTTACTTTGTGTCTGTAACTTTAAGAATTATGATTTTCCAGTAAAAAACTATAAGATTTATTACTTTAAGTAATTCAGAAACAGTAATTGTTGATTTTTAGTATTTATTTGAGTTAGATTTTAATTTAAATGTTAGTATTAAATAACTCTATTGAATAAATAACAAAATATCTGATCAGACCACTGTAAAGCCCTTTATACATTTCTTTATATTCGATCAATGGGTTATGTCGACCACTCCGGTGGCTCTCTTCTTGTCAGGAATCCTAGGAATAATTTTGGCTTCTTCATGCGTATAACCGAGTTGGCGACGATCAAGATCTAATCTTCAGTTGTGATTCACTTTTTTCATCATTAGTTGATGTCAAAGAAGTTTTGGTTAATTAAAAGTATCCGAGGTATGTTTTTAAGAAACCTCGGTGAAAATAATAAATGTTAGATGTAGAGATTTCTCAGATACTTTTGATTAACCAAAACACTATATATAATATTTTTTTTAAAACACATATTGCATTAGAATTGCATTAAATAGGTAAAAAAAATGAGATTCATTGAATGATGCCATAAAAATTCTTAATTAAAAATAAACCAACAAACAAACAAAAAGTCAAAAGATTAACTAAGAACCATGACACATGTCATGTTGAGAAGAGATGAATTAGTGACATGGCACTCTCAAATGAGAGAAAAACCTACTTTTTATAATAAGATTAATTAATCACTTCAATAATAAAATAAACTCATCTGATCAAAATATTAAACACTGTTATTGAAAACTTAATTTTTTTTAATGTAGTCCATATTAAGATACCATCTATATATTCTCAAAATTATAATTTAGATCAGACAAATTAAATTATACTGCGAGTCATTTTTAATTTGATTTATATTTCATTTCTGCAACAAAAAAAAATTATTTTCTCAAAATTTAAAGTATGTATTGGTCATCCAAACCATAAAAATAATGATTTTTAACGTAAAACCCCAACTAAATTTGTTACGTGTAAACTACATGACATTCTAATTAAACATCATGTTGTTTATCTACATATTGTGTTGTTTTAAGATTTTTAAAATACCTTGTGTTTTGACGGGAAAAATAATAGAGGGGTCAGATCGTTAACGAAAACTGATTTGAAGGGTTTATTCATTACATCATTAATTGAGGAGTTTTTACACAAGCCAAATTTAATTGAGGGTTTGAAAACTCATAAAATAACTATTAAACATATTCACAAAACACATGATATAAATTTTAAATATAAATTCATATGATATAAAATTAAACTAGCTTTTGACTCGCGCGTCAGCGCGATCTATTTTTCATAATTATGTATTTTTAATTTTGAACAATGCCATACACTTAGATATTCAAATTATAAGATTTATATGCTATTTAGTTTTGACATTGGTCTGTCTTGTTCAATGTGTTTAGTCTCCATTTGTAAACTATAATATTATATTTTCTTTTATTGTGCTTTATTTATTTTATTTGGTAAAATAAAAATTATAGTGTAAAATATTATAGTTTTACGTATACTTCTGGGTTTATTAAACTAGATTATAAATATTTTTATTAAAGTTGAATGTAAAGTTTAAATATGCTATTAATATTTTTTAAACAAATACATTATTTAGACATAAATATAAAAATAATGAAGTTACATAGAAACATTTAAAAATAAGTACAGATTTTCTGAAATATTTATTTAGTAAATCTAATTTATGTTATTGAATTGGACCATTTTGTTATGATTAAAAGTTTGGTACATCATAATATACAGTTACATAATGATCATGAACTTTATATTTGAAACCCTCATCCGGAAATCCGCTAGGTGCTATGCATATGACACACCCGGACCTAATGATTTATCAAAAAATCGAAAAAACGGAGGATACGCAGAGAGAATTTTTCGTATTTTTATATTCTATAATATACTTCACTTATACTTATGATACAAAATTTATATGTAATACATGTTTATGTATAAAACACCACTGGTATTAAGATTCATAGATTTTTAAATCCATATCAAATTATATCACAAAATATAATTATACTTATTTAATTGCACATCAAATACAAAATATAATATCAAATTATACGCATTAATATAAAATTTTCTAGGTCAAGAGTTACATATAATAACATTGAGATGATTACGTAGTGATCTGTACAGCACAGCTGGTGATAAAATTAAGATCCTCTAAGGTTCAATTCCAAGCCATTACGCTTGCTGTCTTTTTACTCATTTTAGTTAATAGGGGCAGCCATTGATTTTTGCTTACTTTAGACCAATCTCATCAGAATAAGTCTGGTTTATAGCATGGGAAAGAGAGACACGATGAAGACAATGCTCGTGAGTGGTTGGGGAGTGATGGAAGAGAAGTTTCTCGAGAGCCGCCGAGATGATTACTCAGTCGCGCTCCGTAATTCCACAGTTGAAGCGGAGAAACTCGTGTCACCGCGTAAAGCCTCCGATGAGCACCAATTCACCATTGTGAAGCTCTGATGAATATTTTCCAGTCGTAAACCGTGTTTTATGTTATGCAACGATATGTATGAAAGTAGCTATTGTATTAAAATGGTTTAGTAATGTTATGATTTAGAAATTATATGGTCTAGTAATTAAAACAAACGGCTGTGTTTAAGGAGAGTGGCAGACAATGGTAAATATTGAGGAAAACTTAGGGGTATTTTTAATTTGTACTTCTACTTTAATAGTTTAGATATTAAAAAGAAACAATCCCACGCTTTGAAAGCGCGATATGATTGGATTTTTAGTTTTGAGTTTTTCCATAAACCATTTTTCATCCAATCAAAATTTTCATAAAATAAATTCCCTATAATATAGGAAAACTATATTTTTCAGATAACAGTTTTTTAAAAACAAAACCCAAAAACCAAAAACCAAGTTTTTATGGTTTTCTTTTAGCTTCCGTTGGTTCTTTCTGTTTTTTTTTTAAATATTTTTACTATATTTATACAAATGATAAATTACTATCACCTAATAAGGTTTAGCAAAATTCATTTACTTAATGTAATATGAAAATAATTTATAGTAAGAATATTTTTTAAAACTTGTTAATTGCGGTAAATTATTTATTTAACACTAAAAATTTTGTTTAAAAATAAATTCTAAGTTAAAACTTTTAAAAATAACACACCAAACAATCATTAACTAAAATTTAAAGAAACCAAGATACAAAGGAAATATTAAAATTCAGGATTGAAAATATATTTAAATACTTTTATACAGTTTACCAAAATTATAATTAAATTTCATTTAGTATGTTTAAATAATAAAGTAAATATCAGGTGTATACTGTTTAATATTTTGTAGTTAAATAAACTTTGAAAATCAAAATATTCATATTTTTATAATATTTGAATTCAGAATATTTTTCAAAATATAACTAATTTTTATTTTATATTAAATTTTAAAGTTGAATGATTTCTTGTCTTTTTAACTGCATTAATTATGTATTGTAAATATATATATCGTTCATCTATTTAGATTGCATTATTTTTGTTTTAAAATAATTTCTTAAATATAGAAATGTAGTTTAAGTGGTAATAATTTTATGATTAATTTTTATTTTACTATCAAAATAAAAAAAAATTAAATTTAAAATAAATATTTTATTAATTTTTAAAACAAAAACCAAAAGTTAGAAACTAAAATCTACTGCAAAATCAAAAGCAAAAGTTAGAAACCAAAAAGTCAAAAACTAAAACCAAAAAGTCAAAAACTAAAATCAAAAACCATTCAAACAGTCATCACCTAGGTGTTTTCTTGCATCATATGCAGTGAAAGTTTAAATTATATTTAATAATAATATTTAATTAATATTATATATTTTATTATTTTCTTACCAATATTTAAGAATAGATCTGATTTAGTTAAACATTAAATTAAGATAAATATATTTATATAAAATCATATTTAAGAATATATATGTATATATTTAAAATTATAATCTTAAATAGATTTTTCTATCCATTAATATTTCTTAAATATAATGAGTTAATGTCTATAAAATTAATAAAAGTGATAATAAATTGTATATCAAAAATTTAAACTAAACAATATTTACAAAATTTGTAGATATATAAGAAACTAATTAGGAATAGAAATTTATAATTTTAAAAAATTGTAGCAATTTTTGAAAGCTTTGATGACAAAATTGTATAATCTAAAAAATAAAATAGAATAATATTTCAAAATTTGTAATGCTATATTTTAATATAGAGAATTTGCACTCTCTACCCATACAATTTGGCATATTTAGTTATCTACCTAAATACACTGTTGGCAGTACTTTTTTCTCTTATTTTACTCACTCCATCCTCACTTTTTCCTCCAAAGTTTTGCTGTATAAGGTAAATCCCTAATATCTAAGTTCTTTTAGTATATTCAGCCAATTGACTCTTGAATATATTCTTTTGAGGATGATATATGAGCATTAAATGTAAAGTATTTCTTTATTACCATATTTAAAAAGTAAATATAAACATTAAATGTAGCAATTTATATTTTTGGAAATTTATATTTTTAAAAAATTGTAGCAAATTTTAAAAAATTTAGTAATAGAAATTTTATAATATAAAATCTAAAATAGAATAATATTTTGAAATTTTTAATATTATATTTGAATATATTTATTTTAAGGATGATGTATGAGTTATTACCATATTTTATTTTATTTTTACCATAAATAAATATTAACTTTAAATGTAAAGTAAATGTTATTACCATATTTAAAAAGTTTACTAAAAATTTAAATCGACATTAAATATAATTATCCATGTCATATTTTGCCATAAGTCATGTCATCAATTTTAGTAACCATGTCACTTATTTTGTTGTAAAACTGATTATAAAAATGACATATGACAAAACCACTTTGCAAATAATATATAAAAGATAGAGTATCACTGGATCTGAGCCAAGCCTATTGAAACATTAGTCTTAGCTCCCATTTTCTTATAGGTCTATGTTAAAAGAATTTATTTTTTATGTATGTACATATGAAAAGTAATTATACGGAGATGTTTCAAGTTTAATAGCGTAAGTGGGCCAAAATATACATAAACCATACCCAATAAGGAATTATATTTTTTTCAAAAGTAAAAATTAAAAAAAAATCAGTTCCAGGTTGATTCTTTTCTTTGTTCCACGTTTAAGCTTCTTCTAGTCACCTGCAAACACAAAAACACTCCATAAAGGTTGATTACTATTATGTCAAAATCTGGCCACAAGACATTAACCATGACATGTAAAAGGATTATGATTATTATAAGTTTGTATAAGAATTTAAAATATGGTTAAAATCAACTGTATTTGCCACTAGACTTTATTTTAGTTAATTTTTCATGTTATGAAATATCAGTGGAAAAATGCATATTCCAATCTGAACTTTATTCGTCGTGCCTATTCCTTTCCAAACTTTGTAGTAGTGCGTATTTCATAGCAAACTACATAAAAACTCAAAAATACTATATGAACTTTAATCATTGTGCATTTTCTTTTCTAAACTTTATAGTAATGGATATTTATACTGAACTAAAAAAAATTCAAAAATACTATCTGAACTCTCAAAATCGTGCTTATATATATTGACCATGTTATTCAACTATAATTTATCAAATAACATTTTTTGATAAATTGTGTAAATATTAAATTTAAACATACGACATAAACTCTCAAAATCTTGTTTATATATTAACTTTTTTTTATAGAATTTATCCAAAATGACATTATTTTGCTAAATTAATGGATGACTAATATATTTTACACTCAATATATAAGTACATTGATAGTTTATGTAGTATTTTTAAATTTTAAAGTTTACAAAATTTATCATAAACAAAGTTGCTTGCCTCTGATCTAAAGGCAAAACAACACAAATTTTTAGAATATAATTCTGTTTTAGTAATATTATAAAGTAAATATTTAAATTAATAAAAATTAGTTTAAATTTATATAATAATGATTTTTAAAGTTAAACTTAAATATCAGTTAGTGTTTACAAATTTATACAAGAAAGCCCTTTGATTTAGCATTTAATATGCTCTTACTTGTCCACCAGAATTTGAACCTCCCAAAAAAATAATTTTTAATTTTACAGAAGTCATTCAAAATGGTCATTTTGAGAAATTAACGGATGGCTCATATCTTGACGGTTAACATATATATAAATATTATTTTGAAAGTTTATGTGGTATTTTAAAATTTTAAATTTTAAAAAATTTATCAAAAACAATGTTGTTTGACATTGGTTGAATAACACATATGATGACCAATATATATAAGCACAATTTTGAGAGTTTATGTAATATTTTTGATTTTTTTATTTAGTTTGGTATGAAAATGCACTACTATAAAGTTCAAGAAGAAAAAAATACAACGTTTAAAGTTCATGTAATATTTCCAGAGTTTTTATGTTGTTCAGGATAAAGTACGCACTATTATAAAGTTTAGGAAGAAATAGACACGACTAAAAAAGTTCAGATTGAAATAGGTACTTTATCCAAAATATCAGCCTCCATTTTCTGTTATGCTTTCGAACCCCCGGATTCTCAGCACTGGCCCTGTATAGAGTTTGAGACAGCCCTTGTGGTTAGCTACACATCGTGGTTTTCCCGTCAGTTCTGATTTTCCTATGGACCTCTTCTCCCTCTTCTTATGCTCACAAATGTTTTTTTTTAAAAACGTTAGCTTCATTATAATAAGAGAAATAAACGGACCCAGATAAGGATCTGGGTATTATAAAAAATAAATAGAGTAGATAGGATGGATTAATCAAACGACAAAAGGAAACAGAAATTGCCAATTATAGAACAAAAGTCAGTTTCTCTGAGTGGGCAAAAAACCCAAACCGAACCAAACCAAACAGATCCAACCGAACTTAAACCAATTCAAAGTATATGTCTAAACCATTTGATTCAAGATTTTATCAACTCGAATAGTTCGGTTTAGTTTGATTTTAAATCAAACCAAACCGAAGTGTTTTTTAATTAGATTAAGTAAATATAGTAATAATATTAGAATTAATATATTCAACCATTTAACCTAGATAACTAATAATTTAATACATTTTACTTCGAAATGAAAGGAATAAACACAACTAAAAAATATGAATCTATACATTAACATTAAAACCGAATATTATTATGATTTTATTTTAAGTCTGAAGATAATAATATAAAATTATTGGATTACATCTTCTACAAATTTATTGTGATATTTGGTTTTGCGTTTAAATATGGAGAAAACGATGATTTAGTATCAAATGATAATTTGTTAATGTTTTTATAAATTATATTTTTGTAATTGAACTAGAACAAAGCTAAAACATCAACTCAATTGAATTGAAAAATACAAACAAAACCATATTAAACCTAATAAAACACTAACCAAACCGAACACAAACAAAACCAAATTAAAACTAAACCAAATTAAAACCAAACCAAACTAATATGAGTTGATTTTGGGTAAAGTTTTCTTAGACCCAAAAAACTCGAACCAAACTGAACCCAAACCGAACCCGTAATAAAACCGAAATGGCCACCTAACTTTCTCTTTCTCTATCTTACACGTCCTATATTTTATAACTTTTTTTAATCTAAACAATTTTTTTAATTTATAAAAATATTTGGGGGGGGGGGGGATGTTGTTGCTTCTAATAGTATAAAATACCCGCTCTGAACCG